GGCAAAAGCAAGCTCCTATCATCGGAGGAGATTGGCACTTAAAGGGTGTGGGTTCACGTTTTGTGTGGGCATGATTGACAAGATCGGGGCTGAAGGAATATCATATCCCGAAGTACAGCTTCCTGACAGCTTTGTTATGCAGGGTCCTGATGCGGGAATGTGACGGCGTCGGACTTTAGCCTGGGCATCTTTTTTGCGCGGCAAAGGCTACTAGGACCTACAGCAGGATGTAGCTTAATCCTGAGCATATTGGATTTTCGTGCAGATTGCCGTAAACCTGACATGTCCTGTGGCAAGGTCTCTCACACCCGCCCTGGGCAGCCTTCATCGCTGCTGCACGAGGTAGCCATCTTCTTCACGATGCGCATTTAGACACCAAGCATGTTTTGTAGAGATTTTTGCTGCGTTTCTAGGGAGGCTGCTGGCAGTTGGGCGCTTGGCGGGTCAGACAGCATCTGTCTAGAATTGAACCCCTGCTATAAGGCAGACTCTGCACGCCAGGAAGCTCAATGATGTTGTAACCTCTTCTGTGTAAAAGTAATGTATACATGTGCATGAGTTGGGACGGTGGGTATCCAGAGAAACTCCAGGAGAGACCAGTGGCAAGCTATAAGGAACAATTGGGCCTTTGGCTCAAGACATGAAAGGCCTGGCAGGAAGAGCCCCCGCTCCCTCAAGTAGGAAGCCGGCAGAAGCTTCCTGAACCCTGAACCTCCTCGTGTGCTCACCACAGAGGCCTTCTGATCCTTTTCATTTCTGCTTAGAGCCCCTCAGACTGCAAACCCATGGCTTTAGACCTCACGCCTGGAGTTTTGAAGCGCCGAGTCCTGAAACACCGGCCCTTGGGGGCAAAACTGCTCCACCACTTGATCACTACCCAAGCCAACAAGCCAAAAGTGTGCAAGTGCAATGCTACGCCCTAATCCTCACTCCCTCTGAAGGGTCTGGTTATATCGTTTGTCAACCCTGCAAATTCCCCGCAATTGCTCTTGGGATCAACATTCCTCTTGGCGGCTTTTCCAGGAATCAGGTCTTCCCTTAACAGGTATTGATATTCACCGAGTGTTTGCCCTAAGTGGAAGAGATTCATTAAGAACCCTAAGCCCCGAAGCTGAAATCCCAACACCCTGCAGTTCAAGTACGTGATTCCCTGTCCCACTCCCCCTGAAGCACCAGTAAGGCTCCGACCCTTTCACATCCCCACAGGCCGATGTGGCAGCACTCGCACGGCACTTCCCAAACCTCGGCTTCTGCGCGAAGTCAGTCAACAAGGCTGAGTGATTGGGATGTGGAAGTTCCCCCCAAACTCTTTTTTTTGGCGGGGGCACCCGATAAGTATCAGGACTGCAGTATTTCGGGGTATGTAATGGGAACTCCCTTTTGAAAAAAGCACATGTAGGTTTCAGGGTTTGCGGTTTAGCGTATGGGGCACAGTCTTGTCATCCTTGAGCTGGATCGGGGCAGCTATACACAGCAAGCTGGTACTCGATCCTGTGTCAGGATAGGCCCCCAAGCGACAAAGATAGCCACTGGTTGAGGTCTATATCATAGCTCTGATTTTCTGGGTACCTGGGGGGCCGTGTCGGTGCAAGAAGCGAATCTTACACTCTCAGCATGTTCCAAAGAGCCACGACGAGGATTTTGATATTGCCCCCAACTCGCAGCACCTGCAGCAGCTGCAAGCGAGATCTAAAATCAAATGCTCCTACATTTGGGGCTTCCCTAGATAAGTATGATATTTATTTAAGATCTGCCCCATCTCCATGTGGCGGTATCCAAGATTCGGCTCGGAAACTAGGTGCAGTTCGCCCATGCCTTCAACATGAAGCACCGGGTGATCTCCGACAACATGCTCCAGCACCACTTCCTCGACTCTTGACCTGCAGTCCTGAAAGCACTTCCTGTTTCGGCTTACTGGAATCCCCAAAAGCAGCTGCTATCATTGTGGCCTGGAAATGTTTTTTTCATGGAAGCCTGAACGGGACTGAGGCTGAGGCTCAGAGATGAAGATCTTATCATTTGTCAGTGTGCGGTGGGGTGTCATGAAACTAAAAATGCCTCACAGAGTCTCACCTGGACTTGTACTTATCCTTGTTGGCGCTTTCCATGTTGAAAGGCTGCTAGCCTGGTTGATGGTGAGTAGAGTTTAGAATTGGTAGTTGCAAGGCGTGTCGGATGGTCATTTCCTCTCTAGACCGCCGGCTGAGCTCTCCGGTGTCAGAAACAAGTTTTTTTGGTTTCGTGGTGGATCATGTGCAGGAAAAGAACAGATTTCACTGTTTCATTTGCCCGACGAATGACCCTGCGGCCCAGCTGTGGAAATTATTGCTTTCGAATTCTGGCCCCAGCCGCTAGCAGTCCTCCAAAATTGCAAACGTAGTGCTATTGTACGCTCAATGGCAGCCTTATCTTTTAACACTTCTCGGGTGAGCGCAACATCCAAGCTATCGAGCACAATGCTAAGGACTTCTATGCCCTTGCGCCAGATGCACAGGCTCGTCTAAGCTAGCACTCTACCTATGCAGGCAGCTATAGTGCGGTCTCACAATAAGCAATATCCTGACTGCTGGAACCAAGCATGTGATCACCTATAGGAACCTATCTGGTTAACGGGCAAAATCTTCGATTCCTCTGTGCCGAAAGCCTAGGAAGTATGGTAGTCTACTATACTTGGGTTTATGCAGGATTTCGTTCATCAATTGTCTCTCGGCCTCGGAGAATTATGACACGGCATGTCGGGTTCTAACTGTTGCATCAAAGCAGTTAAGGTAGAGACCTTGAAAGGCTGAAGGTTCAGCCAACTGATCTTCACCGTGTTTACTGCTGCTCGAATCTTAGTGTCACATGATACCCCAAAAGTAGACTTGTCGAACTGCTCCCGCATTTGTGGTATGCTTGGTAAGAGATGGTTTGTAACTGCACTGCGAAGTGGCTGACGGAGTGCCAACGGCCCATCTTCTCCAGCAGTTTCATGGGAAAGTCTCCGCAGTAAGCCCCTGCTTCGAGGAGAATATGGCTCAACTTTCAGTTGAAATTTTGATCCTTATAATCCCGATATAATATATTCCCTCACTCTCTGCTAACCCCCCGTAAGTTTATTCAGGGTTTACTAAGCCTTGGTAGGGAAGCTACCTCTCCCAGGTACCTCCCCTCTCACCCCACTCCTGAACGGATCTGATATTCAGCTTCATCCCTGTCTGTGGACTCAGGAAAAGTCATGGACAATCTTCTGTTCCAGAAGCTTTGTACCATGCGCTGGATTGAAATCGCCAATCAGCCTTGTCCAAACAGCTCTGTGCAAATGTTCTGTGGCACAATAAAGCTGCAGCACCTGACATGAGGGGTTCTCAAAGCTACTGGTTCGTACATCGGATCTTCTCGTCCTGTGGATGCCAGCGAAATAGGACCTGCTCAAGTCTCACAACGCGCAAGAACATCTCGCAGTTCTTCTGGGGCAGTTGTCTGCGACCCCGAATCAAGGCATTTACCCTGAACCTGTCTATGTGAGTCATCATCTCGAAGGATCTCATATGATGCTTGAAATACCTTCTTCTGAATCTTTTTTTTTTCTGCGGGGGCCCATACTCAAAATGATCCTTACATTGCATCATCTCCTGATGTTCCCATACAACCCTCAGTCCCAAAGCTGCCACTGTTTTGGAAATTCTCATGTTCCAACCAGTTTACACGGGTATCTTATACTACCCGCACCTCATCTCCCCCAGTCCCGCTAGCGTATAGGACCCGATGCAAAAGATTGCAAGCCATAAACGGCTCAAAGTCCTAACCCCCCAGACCCTGAACACCCAAACGGTTTAAGCCTCAACCCCTAGCCCTCTAAACACCTGAGCCTTTACACCCTGAATCCCAAAACCGCTAACCTGTTAAACGTGTAAACCCGCAGGGACCTATGGATTTTCAGAGATGCTGGAAAGGTCATCCTCCTGAAGGATCCCAAGACGCGCCAGCATGGAAGGCATAGCCTTCAGAAGCATGGGGTTTAGGGGTTGGGATTCAGGGTTTTGGGGTTTGTTGCACTCCGGGTTTTCGGGATTTAAGGTTTTAGGGTTTGGGGTTTTAGGGGTGTGTGGTTCACGGCTGAAGGATAATTAAAGCGGTATTTTGTTGATTCTTCTGAGTTTCGGAACCTGGTTCAGGTGCTCACTGCTCAAGTCATATATGAGATTCTACGGTTGCATGCCCAGCTATCCTCATTACAGTCACACGGTGCAGCGAGCAAGGACTCAGGGCGGAGGAGTTGGAGCACAGCGACCTAGCAGGGTTTCAATTATGAGCTGGCGGGGTGCACACTTGCAATAGCGATGAAATGATTTTGCTGCAGCTGCACCATGCCCTCGTGCTTCTGCCTGCGCAGATACCAGGTGCTGGAATGACAGCATGCCCACTGCATTCACGGAAGCACCCAAGAAGAAGTGACCACATGGCGTGTGCCTGGCGCATGTGTGCACAGGCGACGACAGTACGCGTTTGCACCTTCGGGGCCGGAGCCCAACTCCCGTACTCGACTCTTGCAGTCAAAGTACCCATACTAGGGCACTCGAGCGCCAATGAACTCAACAGTGTAAGGAAAGCTTGGCCGCCCAGCATCCAAGTTGGCCCCTGCCTAGCGGTGAGCGGTGCAGGCGCGGGCGGGCCCCAGTGGAATCCTCCTGCGGGCAGACCCAGGCCGAATGTTATTCAAGGCTTATGAGGTGGGGTCAGTGTTTTGGGTTTAGGACTTTGGGTTCGAGGGTCACATGTTGTACTCGCAGGTTTCCATTTGCCAAGGTCCAAGCGCGGTGGGCTGTATTTCAGAGGGGGAGCGTCTCAATGATTTGAGGCGATGACTATTCGGAGCTGACAGGTAGCGTTGGGAGCGCAAGGACAGAATCTTTTGAAGCGCATCGCCGAATGACACGTGCTACAAGGGCCCTGGGGGAGCCGCCTTTCTGACCCTAAACTTCAACCCACACGAAGAACTCATGTGGACCTTGTGTCAGGCCCTTCTGCCACCAATGAAGACGCAGTTGCTCCTACAGGCCTTGGGGATGGTTGGGTTGGCTGTAAAGCTCATGAGCCAATTCAGGCTGCTGTTCTGCCCTGTGGGGAAAGCATCTAGCAACCAGGGGCTTTCGAGTTCGGGTCTACGGATACTTGACAGGAGTGGAACTGGCCTCATCAGGATTTGGATTGTTTTTCTGAAAGGGGGAAGGCTGAAAAGGACTACTCTGCTCTGCCAGTCTGCCAGGTTATGGAGACAGCTAAAAACAAACAGGTTTTGGGGTTTGAAGCCCTGAGTCTCGTTGTCTGGGTGCAGAGCACAGGATTGAAAGTCAGCTCGAGAGCAGTATGCAAACTTTATCACACCTTCATCCGTCTGAATCCCAATCATCTGGGGCTGTAGTCTATAAGCACTAAGACAGACTCGTAACCCAAAACCAAATCCCTCCAAATCTGGTGGCCCCTTTGAGGCACATAGACGCATGGTGCGATGTTTGGTTCCACGAGACAAGCTCTTCGAAGTGGATCCCTGCAGAGCAAGTTCAGGCTTCAGGATTCGGTTTATTGTTGCCCGGGACATTCCTGCTTGGGTTCTCCAGGCAGGGACTGCTCAGAGGTTATTTATTTCCAGCAAGAGAGCACCACACACTGGCTGATCAAATCTCCCCATTGTTGTTCTTGGGTCTGCGCTTTGCCCTTAGAAAATTTAAACATCAAGCAATTCACAAGACTCAAGGTCCAGAAAGAAGAAGGTGAGGATCTCTGTAAGTAGAGCTTCTCCTGCTTGTGTACCAGTCACAGAAGTGAGGCACTTCCCCACTCTCCACTCGGCATGACACCAGTTATACCAAGGCTATAGTTGCCAGTTCGGATTACATCACTTCATCCTTTGGAGAATACAGGGCATGGACTTCTCCCCAGTAAGCACAATACTTGCACAGTCATGCGTCATGTGAATCACTCCTCAACCATGCTGTTGTTTACGTAATCAAATTGGACAGACGTTTTCGAGCCGTATTTCGAATGTACCTTGCAAAAGGATATAGCATGCCCTGGGTTCATGTCGAGGTACGCATCTGCTCCCTATACGAGCGTCATAGAATCCAGGCACTGCCCTTGCAAAACCCCGTGCGATCCCTGAAGTCCCAAAAACTCGTGCGGGTACTGAGGATGCCTCAGACACTCCAAATGTCGACACAGCGAAGCTGGCAAAGTGCCTCAGCGCGCTTCAGCATAAAAATCAAGGGTGGCGGCCACCGGGGTTGTAATAAAGTTGCAGCTAGTGACGTTCGAGGGCAAAAGCAAAAACCAAGCGCTGTGCGTAGACTCATCCAAACCCTGGAAAGCCCAACCCATACGAGAGTGTCCTCGCGATGCAACCATGAGGCAGGACAGCGCGGTATTCCTCCCAAGATAACTGTCCCCAGTAGAAACTAAACGGTCCACAATCCCTTGAAGCCAGACTCAAGAATCTTGTCACAACTTCCCTCCCTTTGGTGACGTGGCTTTCCCCAGGGCATTGCATTCTCTGTAGACAGTGAACCCCAAGCATGGGCCACAGGCCCCACAGTAGGAAAGTGGAAAAGGGGTTGCCAAAAGGTTGTACTAAAGGGTTCTGCAGTGAACTTCTGAAGTTTTCCGGCTTGGGACATTTTCCTGCCCACTTAATCCTTACGTATCCACTAGAGAATCCTAGTTACACCCTTCCAAGCGCTTCCCCAAATCTTCAACACCTCAAGCTTCAAAAACCTCGGCAGATTTCTGGGTTTCAAGCCGCCTCGCTGGGATCCGCCGCTGCGCAGCTGCAAAGATGTTATGGGCTTAAAGGAGTTTCAAGGGAGCTTGAGGGTTTTGATTTATGCTCTCTGCGGGGATTGGAGGGTTGGAGATTTAAGCTCCACATCCTCCAACCCAAACCCTAAACCAAAACTAGCCAGCAGATCTTAACTCCTGGACCACAATTAAGCTCAAGAGCAACAAGGCCCCAGCCATGAACCCTGAGCTCAAAAGCCGAAACACCCAAAACCTTTCAATCCCAACATCGCACCCTTCAGCCCAAAAGCCTGTTCTCTCAGGTTCCCCCGTATTCGCCTGCCAGAGCCAAAAGCAGCGACTCTGCAGCTCCCGAGCAAGAAGGGCAAGAAGGGCAAGAAGGGCAAAAAGGACGTGACTGAGGGTCTGCAGGGTGCATGGGGCTGTCGGGATCTGTGATTCTCAATGGCTTTTAGATTTCTTAATTTAACCGTCTATTGGTTGAGGTCTTTTTGGTTTAATCGGACCGTTCATTTGGGTCTGTATCGGGGCAAGCCTTCCCTGTTGAAGAGCATTGCAGGCCCACACAGGATGCACGAGTTTATTGTTGGAAGAGCGCAGTCCCCTCATCATCTAAGGTGCCCAAGGGTACTGACAGTTTGAGAAACTCCCCGAAGACACAAGTTGAGAGTTTGCAAGTCAGAGGCTGTTGCTCATAATCTACGAGTTGCAGGCTCGAAGTCAAGACTTAAAGGCAGGCGCAAGTAGACTTGTCGGCTGTAGGGTCGGAAGGCGGGATTGTAGTTTAGCGTTTAGGGATGTGCCGCATAGAGGTCCACTGTCAGGTATTCTTGTGGGGTTGTCCTCTATATCTGGTACATGTCTTTCCCACTAGCTCACGGCCTCATCTTAGTAACCAGCAACGGACCCCCACACAGACTTCCGTCCCTTGAAAAGGTTTGACGTGCGGTTGCATGTTTGTTTAGGAGAGGCTGGGGATTGCAGGTTATGGTTGTGGGTGTAGAGTTGGCACAGCCGGAGCCTTGACTGTGGGTTTGGAGGGCCCAGAGCAACATGACCCTTATTATTTCCTGATTAGTGGAACCGCCAGAAGGAACCCACAACTTTGGAAAGCCCTCGCCATCTACATGCCAGTATAGCCTGGCCAAGTCTCCTTTTGGAAATCAGATTCTTGCATCAACAAGTGCTTCTGAAATTGCTGCAATGTGGGACTTCCAAAAATTCGGTTCGAACACTTTGCCAAGGACTATGGGTACGGAATGGCGACCCCGTTTTGGGAAATGTTTATGTTCCCCCTGCGATGAGGAGCATAGCAGCATCAGTGGCAAGAGCCTGGCCTTGTGCATCACTGGCCAACTCAAGTGCCCAGATAAGCATCGAGGATCTGTAGTGCGGGGTATTCGAGGTTGGGACTGTGGAAGGTCTACCATGTAAGTTTCAGGTTCCAGGGGGTAGGAGTGAGGTTTAGCGATCTGTATGAATCATGCTTCGGTGAGAGTCTGATGAACCAACATGGCCGCTGCTAGTCTAGTGGATGTAGAATTTCCTGCAGGAGTGGGAATCCCCGAGCCCTAGGTGTCTTCGAATAATCCTTTTCAGTCCCAATGTGGTCCCCTGGGCTCTAATTACACGGCTTAGTGCGCAGAAAAAGGGTCACTGGCTCATCTCGTCAGCTGCGCAGTCAGGATTCCGATTGCAGGGATGAGTCATGAGGTAATACAGGTATTTTGCAATGCCAGCGAGATCAGGAAAAACAGGTTTGGTGACCCCGCCTCTGCCCCTCTCATTGCAATCTTAAGTACCATTAGCTGCCGCGATTCACCCAAGTCGCAGAGCATCGTTGTCAGTTTGTGAGTTTTACATGGCCCGCACGATTTGGCTAAGGCTCGGGCATGCGAAGACTGCAAAGCCACGGCCGAGTCGTGAAACTTCTACTGAAACCTGAATAATGAGAATACCTTCAACCCTGTCTCAGATACAGTTAGCATTCCTATGCGTCGAGCAGCTTCATAATTTTTACATGATGACTTCGGCTCTTCTTTCCAGCCCAAAGTACACGTCATCTACGGGTGGTATTGTTGCCGTAATTCTTGCAGAAGTATTTGCGCAAGACCACTAGACCTTGTGGGAGTATAGGTGGGAAACTACAATCTCAACAGTTGCTTACCTGTTTGCTTATGAATCAGGATTCGCTGCGACCCTCACCTTGTTTCTAAGTATGTCAGGACCACCCCAGAAAAGGCATCTCCCAATTTGGGAAACTCTCCCTCCTGTTTGCCAAAGGCGCTTAGAGCTCAAGTCCAAGATCAAGAACGTCATTGAGCCCGCTCAAGCTGCTGGTTTGCGCCTCGCTTTTCCCAAGGTCTAAGTAAGACCTTATTTAAGAAGTTAAATGACATGAAATGATTTTTCTAAATCACAGGGGGTAGTGAGAATTGTAATGGCTCTAATAGCTCTATTTGTGGGCCCATACTTATGCTTGCGAATCTTCACCTGCGCACAAGGGCCTCGTGATTTTTTCCTTGGCGTGGCCGATCTCATGTCTTGTTGCATCATTCTCATGATTTTCAGGCATCATCCATCAAGTTTATTTTTCTGATCATTATTCATCATTATTCGTAAGTTTCCATCATTTGTGATCCTTTTTTGTCACCTTTCGACAGCTTTCATCGTTCTTAACTGTTCATCATGTGTTATCAGTTTTCATCAGGTTTAATATCTTAAGATCATCATGTTCATCATTTTTGAAGTTGTTCGTGGTATTTCGTCATTATTCATCATGTTGCGTTGTTTTTGATCTTTTCTCATTTTCATTGTTTATTTTTTAATCCTAGTTTACGTTTGGTTTTGCTCCTCCGAATTGTGCCGTTTGCAGTCTTTGGGCCCGTCGGCGATCCCGACATGTCGTATCGCTGGCGCGTGGAGCGTCCTCAAAATTCTGTGCACAAATGACGACCCTCTCGATGGGCGCAGCGTGTCGTGACGCTGGCGCGTGGAAGCGTCCTCGAAATTCTGGGCGTAAGTTGCGACCTTCTCGCAATTTTTGGCGTGTCGTCACGCGACGACCCTCACTCTCTTCATTTTCGGCCCCTCGGAGTGCTGATGCGTGGAGGCCCTGAGAATTCTATTCGGAACCCTCGATTGTTAAGGAATCCCTACAGCGCGGCAAGCCAAATGCCTCACAGCCGCGCCTCGAAAAAAAAAGCCTCCGGCCCTCTGGACGTATGTTTCTTGCCCGGTCGTGCCTATAGCAATCCTTGATATGGTGGCGGCTTATAAGGAGTCCTTTCAATCCCTTACAGCCGCTCCTAGGAAGAAACGTTTCCACCTCCGCACAAGGAGATATCCTTGAAATGGGGAATCATCAACATCGTCCCTGCATCTGCCCACGATGTTGTAGAAATACCAATGCTGGCGTATCCCAACAACAAGGACCTCCTCTGGGGCCAAAGGTTAAAGGGCCAAATGTGTTCAGAAATATCTGCATGGCATCTGTTTGCCGAAAGAACTGGCCTGAGACGGCAAATGGGGAGCTGTGGCAAACGTCACCGTTCAATTCCCCTTGTGAAGGTTGTTGCTCAGGTTCCTTTCCTGCAGCTAGGTGGCTTACACCCTTTACGGACGCCAAGCTTCACAAATCAGACCGTTGCCTGACCTCTGGGGACTTAAGCCCTCACATACCATCGGCCCCTGCACCCATCGTCATGCAACCATTGAAGACACTGAAAGCACAAACTTCCTGGACCTTACATACTCAGAACTATTGAACCTCGCCCCAAGCCTGGACGCCTGATGCCATCAGACATGAATGTCATGTTTAATTCTGGTTTCTCTTTCTATTGAGAACTGTCAATCTGGCAATCTGCAACACCTTCTTTTGCGAATATGGGTCCCCTTACCGGAGCCGTAGCGGCTCTTGAAAAAAAAACAATTAAAGCAGTAAAGTACATTTCGGCATGAAACCGCTCAGCCCTAACATCAAGGGCCTCATATGAGCTATAGTCTAAACTTCTGAGAGGGGGGTTATATGGTGGATGATATAGGGGACGATTATAACGGATGTTAAGGGGGATACTCGACGTGTAGACTATAGCTCGCATGAGGAACGTGCGCGTCGCAGCGGTACTTGACCCTGCAGCTGATCCAGCGACTGGGCATCTGAGGGTTGTGAAAGGGGTTGGGAGTTTAGGGGGTGGCTGCCTGGAGTTTTAGGGTTTAGGGCTTTAGGTTTGTTTTGTGGGTTAGGAAGCTCTAGAGCTGTGGAGCTGCAGTACACGAAGTTGATCACCTTCGAAGACATGAGCTCCTAGTTACAATGAACAGTTCTGGAATGTAGAGTTTTGGAAGAGGAACTTACGGTTGATATGAGGTTGTTGAATGTTTTCGGAGGTTTAAGTTTAAGATTTGGAGTGAAGGCCGTGGGTTCGCAGTCTATGTCCTGAGATTAGGCTTCTGTGGCTTCCATTGCTTCGGATCATATGTTGGTGTCTGGATTGTTTACCAGCAGGACCAGCGGGTGTCAATTTGGCAGAAGACCTCTTTTGTTAGGAGCTCAAGCTAGCGATGAAGTCAAAGCCGTCTCTTCTCGCCTTGAGTGGGGGCAGTGTAGTGAAAGCAGCACAGGAAGTCTGAGAAGAAGAACAAAATGCCCCGTTCGTGGTTCCTTCGGCCAACCCTGGCCAAGGGCATCCCTGTTCAGTAGCTTTCTTTTCGGCTTCCAGTTGACGGATAAACGCGATGTACGTAACATGTTATATGACAAAGTATTTGAGATGTTATGGTCTTGTATCCTTAAACGCTCAGCCACCTGTTCAATGGGTTGCTGATGATCCTTAGCCTTTACCGATTTTTAATCTTACCTACAGGAGCCTATGTTAGGGGTGATTGGTTTTGGGCGGTCAGCTGCGGCCGTCTAGGTTTTGGGGCATGGCGGTTTCGGACTCAGGGGTCAGGACTTCAGGGCGTAGATCTGCAGGGTGTTGGACTAAACGCCCAGAACCTAGGAGTCAGAAAGAAAACTTGCCCTCGAGCTAAGATTAAAACCCGCAGAAACATGCCATGAACAAACTACTCTACCTTTGCAAGTCCATGTTCGCGGGAGGGTGCAGCATGCTACAGCGCAGAAGCTGCACATGCGCTTGACATATGAAATTTCACGGCCTAGCAGGCCTTGTTGACGTTGCAGCTCAATTGTTGAGCCATCCACTCGGAAGGCATCCAGACAGGAGGTCATTTTCCAACGTGAAGGCCCCCTTGTTATAAGGACCCTAGTATCAAATATTCCCTGCCAGAACATCCGCCCAAACACATGATCTAGGTGGCTGTCGAGGAACCTGAACTAAGCTACAGGTATTAACAGGAAGCCAGATCAGTGTTACCATCTATCCAAAAGTTCCTCAGCAGCAACCCAGTGACCTGGAGCGCCTCCCCAATGGAATCTCAGTCTCAAGGTCAGCCTTGCTTGCTTGAAATGGAAGTTTTGAGGAGTCTGGCTTTGGGCAAAAATGCATCAAAGTTGAATTTCGTTCCCTACCCTCAAGTTGGGCAGGGTTTGGTTATCCCTGCAGTTGTCCCAGCACATGCTATAGAACAGAAGCACAAGGAGCCTGGGTACCCTCAAAACCTCGCAGAGCAAAGCTTATAAGGACCTAGTTTGCACTTATGCAGGCTTCGATTTACTGAGCCTTTTTCAGCTCTGCAGAGGGTGTGTGTTGAAGGGTTCAAAAGTTTGGGTTGCAGGATTTGGGCGCCAACTTTGGGCTTCGGGTTTTTGATGGAACTAAGATTTCGCCAATCAATGCCCAGCAATCTGCGCGCGGGCCGTGGGGCCTATTTTTGCTTCCCAGGGATACATAGGCTCATGGCTTTCATATGAGCTCTTTGCTGTCATCTGCCCAAGCAAGATGGAAGGCAGATCCAGATGCCAAATTGTTCGCCGGTGCCATTCATCGCAGGTCCTTTGTTCGCGCACGCCATTTTGTGAGTCTTGGCAATTTTCCACTTATCCCTTCATTGTTCAGTACGTGTGCTGCTTTGGGCGAGTGGCGTTCATGGCACGCAATCTTTCCCAGAGACAAACATATGCTTCCAGGCATAGTGTTCGTGGCCCATGTTTTTGGTTGCAAGTTCCAGGCCTGTGGCTTGCGCTTGAACAGGCAAAGTTTTGCATATTCCGAAGTTTTGATTAATCAAGGCCAAGGCACCCTCATAGAATTCATAGGATAGTAAGCAGGAAGAAAAACTTCCACATTGCACCTGCAGCCAATTTGAGAATAACCCGTTTCAACTCTATAGGTGTTTTAGTCACCAAGATGCCTCTGACTTTAACTTGGTCTTTGCCCCCTGAGCGACCCCCCGAAATTGTGCTTTAAATCAAGGGTCTATATGTGTACGGGTTTTTGACTGAATATTCGGATTAAGATCTTTGTTGGCACGAACGTGCGCAGATAAGCAGCTGCGACGGCACCATTTCTCTAATGCGCAGCACCTCTCCCAGAATTTTGGGAGCGGTTATCATTGACCCGCAGGAACATGCCAGCAGGCTTCTTCGCCTGTTGTTCAACAATGGGCATGCGTGGCAATTAACATGAAACCTTCCATGCGCGTGATACTAAAGCATTGCAGCTTCAAATAGAGGGATTGCTAGAGCCTTTTGTTTATGTCTTCGACCCGTCATCCGGTTGAACAAGGTTTGTCAGGTCGCCAGTACGCCTCCAGTTTCTTGCTTCATGTGTTGTTGGCTTTTCTTGCTATGTTCATGAATCGTGACGTACAATGTGTGAGTTTATGCGTAATGTTAGTACATTTACAAATGTTTGTGTCATTGCTTTTATCATTATTAGCAACGTTATGGCCCTGGGTGATTTGTTCCTGCTTTTATGCCATCATTCGTTTTTCTTCTTGTGGAATTTCTTGCTGTTGCTACCATCAGGATTGTTGCTTGAACGCCGTTCGTCTTGCTGTCATCACGGTTGGTATTTCCGTTGTGAGTATTACTACCCTGTTATTTTTGTTAATATGACAGCACTTACGAATACTTCGTGTTAACTTTGTCCAAATTTGCATTACGACTGCGATCCTACAGTCATTGTCAATTGTCACTGCTTCTAGTGCCGTTACACGTGGTAATGTTACTCCTGGTGTTATTCTTGTTGTTGCTGATTCTTGTTAACTGCAACTACAATCACGAAAGCTGTTGCCGCTGTCATGATTGTCACTCTTCATCTTGTTATTCTTCTACGTCTGTTTATCGTGATAGTTGTGATGACTATTTTCTTGCTGCTGGTGCTCGTGATGTTGTTGTGTTTGCTGTGATGATTAGAGCCGTTAGTGCCAGTATCGCGATGGCTGCCTTGACTATTATCTTTTTTTGTGACATTCACGCTGATATGTGCTTGTCCTGTTTCCTTGTCTTTAGACGGGCGTGCGTGCTGGGGAGGCGTTTAGCTGCGCCCCCCGCCAACTCTTTCCCGTGTTCCGAACAGCTGAAGAATGCTATGTTTACCGGCAACTTTCCGTTTTTGAGGTTGTTGAAGAGCTTGGGATGCTGGAAAATCATATCGTGTTTGAGGCATCCAAGAAACACAGACAAGTATGTTCCGCTTGAGAAGCACACCCAAAAACAGTCGAAAGCGGCAACAACCTAGTCAATGTTGGCTCCCGTCCTAATGCATTTGATGAACCGGGTGGGCTTGTATGACATTGTCTGACCCAAGGTTTATGTGCACTCGGCTCGCGGGCCCGGCACGCGTCTGGGGAAGGAGCGGCAGGGAGGGGTTTGTTGTCAGGGCAAAGTGGTAGTGTTTAGAATGCTGGGCTTCCGTCGCACAAGGAAAAAGAAGATTCGGGAAGCGTATTCGTACACTTGGCGCAAACCTCAGCATATAGTATTGTCCCAACCAAACATTTGCCAATGTGGTTTTGGAGCGTAGTTCCTTCATTTTTTGGCTGGTTTGGTTGTGTGTTTACTCCACAGGGTGTTAATTGAACAATTAAGGCCAATCAACTTTCGGTGGAAATAGGGGCTGTTGTACATGCCGACTTTCATGCCACGCGAGTAAGATGTCATAAGTGCTGTTGGCATGTGACTCTCGGACCCTTACATTCTGTCAGGCAAGCGTAGGTGTTTGTGGCTTGAGGGGTTTGCCGATTGCAACGTGCGTTCTGGCTGAAGACTGACAGCGAGCTTGCCTTTCGACCCCGTACTGAAAGTCACAATCTCGCTTGAAGCATAGGCTTCAAGGCTTGGAGTCCACAGACCCAATGAAAACAGCTTGCTCTCATTGGAGTAGCAGGATGTGACAATGATCGATGGGCCGTACAGCAACTAAGCTTCCAGTACCCAATATGCTTCCACGGTTCGGTGGTGTTGGGAGAGGCGACTCTTTCACAAGGCCCAAGATGTTTGACCCCCCGCTTTACCCATTCGGAATTTCATCCGGGTTGCCTCAGTGCCTTCCTCATTGCATTTGAGACTCGCAGAGTTTTGAATCTCTTTTGGTTGGTGTTTAGTCAGGAACGAGATGGCAGGATGGCGGTTTTGAGTCTCACCTTTTTCCAAGCTCAGGTTCTTCCCATCGCGGATTGAGTTTTTTGGTTTGACTTGTGGCGCGAACAGCTTCGTTGTTGTAAGTTACCACCTGATCAACATTTGACTTGCAGGCAAGAAGCAGAAATTGATCATATCAACTGCTTGCCAATAGGCTTGCGAGCATTAAATGTAGTGTGAGGCAAAAGCTCAGCCTTTTTTTGAATTTCGTCGTACAACGGCACCCGTATATTGAGAAATAGCTCGGTCAAGCACAGCTGGCAAGATGCAACATGTGATTGATGTCTAATTTTGTAGCAAGCATGAACAGGTCCCAAGCCTTAAGCTCTAAATCCAGGTTTTCTTTAGCTAGGAATGATAATGCCCTGAGGCTGCGGGCCCTAGCTTGCCTTCAAGATTGAAATCTCAAGGCCGAATCTGGGTTCCCGGCTTGTGAGCTTTGAAGGTGAATCTGGACTCGGACTGTTCTCCAAAATCTTGAGTCTCGTATGTCCCGCTCATAGCACGGGTTCTAGTCTTGAAAGCGCCCTATAGATGCCAGGATCACTGTGCAGACATAGCCCCGGCGTTAGAGTATGACAAGATTGCCACTCCGATATCATGATGGGATCCTTGTAGCTTTCCATATGCCATCATGCTTACTTCGGCACATGCCCAGCATCGTAGTATGTTCAACCAACACAAGCAAAGTGTTAAGTCCTAGCTAGGACCTTGAGGAAGCCTTAGGACTAATACCTATCCCGATGCTGGCCCTGCACCCCAAACCTGAGGCCACTAATATTAAACCACGGAGGCTCATGACTTCTAACTCCATACCTAGCGAGCGGCAGCTCCGATTTTGTTGACTAAGTGGGAAGGGAGCTATATAGACAGGACTGCTGGAAGGCTGTAAGGCACTGTAAGGTGGACAAGCACACTACCTAAGTCCAGGTCCCTTCAAACCCTGAACCTGAGGCTCTGAATGTAGAACGCTCCGCCCCCAGCTCTTTAGACCCTAAACCTTAAGCCTTGAGCCCCTGCGCCTTCATATCAACCCTAGAGCCAAGGCAAGCTGAAGGAAGTGGAGCAAGACTTTCCGGATTCCGTTTCCGTGATTGTGGAGCCTTTCAAGCCTCATCTCTACCAGGCGTTGAGCGATATTGCAGGGTTTAGGGATAGGTTTCGGACTTAGGGTTTTTGGACTAAGGCTTCGAAGACGAGGTTTGTTTCGTGATCGAGAGTACTATGAGGTTGAGGGTTAAGGGCTCAGATCTTCGATTTTGAGGGTCAAAGCTTTCGGGTTGCAGCCTTAGGCTTTAAGCACAAAGTTTTGAGAAGATATTTCAGGCTTTGAAAGATGTGGGGTAGGCTGTTTTGTGGTGCGGTGTTCAGGCTTGACGTGAGCAAAGTAATTGCCTGTGTGGCCTTCATGATTTTGAAAGCAAGTGTATTGTATAGGTTTTAGCATGAGGTTCCTTTTGCATGGCCATGAAACCAACCCTACCTTGAATGTAGTCTGCTATAGATTGAAAGTGTTTAAAAGATGTAGGGGCTCGCCTCGGCTGCAAGATATGTTACAGGCTTAGTGGAGCCCTTCCGAATATGCATTCGTCTCCTAGTCTAGAGTACTTTCCCAAATTAACTTGAGCCCCTTACAAATAGTAGGACAAGCTGGCGATTTGACAGGAAGGTATGCATGTAACCCCAATTTTGGGGATAGATTGTTCAGGCCATTTCAATTCGATAAACACACATCTGTGGGGGATTTCCTAGGACTATTTGGCTGCCGGTTTGGCTGTGCTGCGCCGCTGTGTGAGTCTCCAAATCGGAAGAACTGCAGTTGAGAATTCATGAAATACTTTTGTAGGGTTCACGACCTCAAGTTGAACAACGCAGTAGCACTCTGGACCTTTTCGAAGCAATTGCCTTGCAGCCTTTGGGGCGGCGCTTTAAACCGTTTGTGGATGGCCATTTGGGACCAAGTCGCCTCGCGAACTCTGGGGACTGGCAGCGATTTTGGATGCGGATCAGCGTCATTTGGGCTCGCGCTTAGCTGGCGCCACGTAGGACCATGTGTTCCATTTGGTACTATTCCAGGCTGTTTTTGGCAGAGCGGGGCACAAGTGGACTGATGATTTATGACAATTCGGCACCGTTCGCCTGTTGGTGTCCTTGCGACTGAAGAACGAGTACTTCCACCCCCCACAACATATCTGCGTTTTCTCTTTTGGTACTTCAGTGCAGCCTATGTCATCACTGACACAATCTCGTAGCGCCGCTTAGTCAAAACCCAAAAAGCTGGGAAGCCTCCGAACATGCCTTTACACCTTTCTTCTTAGATTCACAGTTACGCTCCGTGAGGTCTGAAAATGGTTACGCCCAATGCGCCCTAAGAACTGACGCAGGTGGACGTCCGCTACCTGCGCGAGCTGGGCAAGAACAACGGTGACGCGGAGGTCCGCGCCAAAAGTCACGTCAGACAGTGGCTCGGCATGGTTTTGGGGAGTTTTTGCGAAAGCCATTGATGATGTCTGGGGTTTAAAGTTTACAGAGCTTGGGCTGGCTCCAAATGCAGCAGCAGGGTTCTTTGCCTGCTGCCGGATCCTGTAACTCTGTCAGCGACCAGAGCAAGCGCTGTCTTTTGCATTCCGTCACGCCGCTGTCCACTGTGCCGTGCAGCTTCTTGTGCCCAAGCTTGGCATGCTGGAGGCACATGTCATTCGAGAACACAAACAAGCAAGTGGAATGACTTTGAACCTCCAGCTTGCTCTCGCTCTACTCCTTCGGAGCTTTTCTGTTGACCAGCTTGCACACCAGCCAATCTTTCCGCCCTCCCTTCCAGCCCCTGTCTGAGAAAATGCAGGTATGGGTCTTAATGAAAAATTGCAGGCAGCCCCCCCAACATTCGGATTTGTTTTGTAGGGCAGGGTCCATAATTGAATATAACCAGGAGCCCAAAGTTGGGAACATTCTGAATTATTTCCACGCAGTGAGCAGCCACATTCCACTAGAGATGTGTTTCCTCTCCTCCAAGGTGGCAGGCTCTGCACCGGTGCTGGGACCTCCTGCAGGACGGCATAGCCAGTTTCCACCGCTTGCAGGGCCGCGAAAATCAAACCAGACTTTCAACCTTACGCATGTGCTGTTCAGAAGACAGAAAGCGTGGAAATACAACAGCTGCGGCTGGCTCAGCCTAAGCCCTGAACTGAACCCTACATGGGACATCCTGAAGTCCACTTCTGCAGATCTGAGCCTCTTTTCGAGTTCAGCCCCCTGCATTTTCAAGTCTCTTGAGGACTTAGAACCAGATTACACACTGCGACTGCGGGATGATGACATCGTTTACGCACCTTGGGCCACTCGACCTGACTGAAGCCAGCTTGGTGCCGGTTTACATAGTGCATTGCGGAAAGCATCAATGTGCCGGCTGTAATGCTAACAGAAGCAGTCTGTATTGCATCAATTGAGCGCGACGAAAGATCAAGGCAGGAATGTGGAAATTTAGTTCGTGTGGGCGGGTACGGATTCTGCTAGACCTGTCGGATCGCCGAAATGAGCAAGGCGTCCGAGACGAAGTCAGTAACCTGACCCGATTGAGTTGGTTGAGAGACCCAAGATGGAGGGCTGCTGGCTCTGAATCCATGGGCCACCTAGGGAGCTGTCGGGGGCTGAGTAGCAATCACTGATCACCAATAGACTTCCCAATAGCAAACATGTAACCTTTGTATCGAAGTCCTTGAAAGACCGAGTCAGGTTCCCTCTGGCACGTCACCTGGACTGGTCGTGCCCAAGTGCGCCTCCTTCGGTGGAGTGTTTCTTGGCCTTTGTAATGCCGTTTCGATATGGAAGTGGTAGACCCAAAACGGTCTATACATGCTTGGGCGTAGTTTGCTGGTCGCCCGCTTCGTGTGAGACTTTTTTGTGGGGTATGTGCTTGCTCTTCACACTGCAAGTTCTCAACCCAATGTACTCCATGGTTTGCAAAGTACACCTGGCGCGAATCTGAAAAACACACGATGGGACCCAAGTCTGGAAAAACAGAGCCTTGAGACTCTTGCAACCCCAAGTACCAAGCCCGAAGAATTCTCAAACTCTAAATCCTAAATATCAAAACTGCTACAGGATGGATACCCATGACAACCTAATCAGTCCTTGATAGAGACCCCAATAACCCCTTTGGAATTCAGCCAGAGCGCGGAATTTCAGAATAACCGGCCAACTTCCCAGGAACGATAAAGGAGCTTTGGCAATTTCGGCGCCGGTTGCAAAGGCTTACCTCACGGCCCCCTTCGAGGTCACTGGGGGAAGGGTTTGGACGTTAGCAGGGGCAGGGAGGAATGTGCAAGGTGTCCGTCGAGAACTCAGTTCTAGGAACAGGTTTTCCTTTTATAGCCAGTTTAGAGCGCAAGCTTCGACGACGAGGATTTGCTGGGGGGTTGGGGCTGCTAGAACTTGCCTGTAGTGTTTGCAGAAGAAATTACCGCATGTTAAAACTTCCAGACGTAGTAGGCGTCATGGCCCTTTGATGCTATAGCTCTGGAGTAAAGCCCTGTGCCCTGCCGGCCTGCGGTTTCAGGGTCAGGGTTCCGCGCTGAAGTTTCAAGCCCGAGACCTAGGCAAAAAGGGATAGAACACGGGAGTCCGAGGAGGTGACAACACTGTTGTGTGGAGGGATCCTGGTGTGAAAGGGACCCATGGTTTGGAGAGAGCTCTACACGCCAAATTGCTTCTCAGATGGGTGTGTTCAACTTCTCCGCCGTCTACCAGCTTCACAAGTTCCTGGGCTCACTTAGGGGTGTGTGGGAACTGTGGCCTCTTTCCTTCTATGCTGGGACAATGTGCTCTTGAGGTAAATGATTTCCGCAGTGGACTTTGCATCGTTGTAAGATATTTCGCTCGCGCAATGTTTTGAGTGCTCAGCTTTTGGTTTTATTTGGGCAGCGCTTTGGTGGTGGCATGGGCGGCACTTGTTGGAGCCCGAGACAGATTTGGTGCCAGGGATCGAGCGCATCATGTTCCCGCAGCACTGGGCTCTTCTACGAAGCTCAGGTTCTTCAATCTCAGGGTTTGATTGGCCCTCGGGTTTCGATCAACACGATCTACGGCTGAGGGTGCGCAGTCAGACATTAGTGGCAAGATATCACCAAAATCCCGACTTGCACGAATCGCCCCATGAGTGTCTCAAGCTCGCACCAATGCAGCCCTCTTTCCCAGGCCAGCTTTAGGGCCTTTAGGGTAGAGGTTTTGGGGTGCGACCCCGTGATGCGGGCATTTAGGTTTTTAGACTCACCCGAACCCGAACGCATGCAGTTTGCATTCGAGAAAGGGTCCCCAATCCCTATGCCTTTCACATGTTCAGGCACCTACCAGCTTTCAACTTCATGCTAAATTTGTCCTTTGCATGTCAGCTCAGGCAGAGCAGCAAGGAGACTCGTCAGCCGCTCCGACCAGAGCCTCTCCTTCAACACTGATGGCAAGGAAGACATTCAGATGGGTGATATGCGCATGAATATATACACATATCGAAATATGCCTGTTTGTGCATACGTTCGTCAGTCAGTCAGCCAGCCTGCCTGCCTGCCTGTCTCTCTGTCTGTTGCCTGTCTGTCTGCGTATGTGTGTACGTACGTTTACATCTGTATGTATGCTGTATGCTGTTTCAAGGGCTATCGAGGCGTCATACAGAGGGCAACACGATACATGAGGTTGTACAGAAGTAGTGCCGAGCCACTGCTTAGAGTCCAGGGTTCAGGGTTTTTGGTTGAGGGCGTGGAGTTTTGGGCTTTTGGGCAAATGGGTCCCTTCCAATATAGGAACGTGCAGGGATGCATTTTCAAATTCTGACTCTGCTGCGGCTCCGTTTCTTTGTGCTTCTGACAATTAAGGCTGCTGAGAGAAGTTACTCCCATCCTGGAAGGAAGTCACTTCCGTTCTGGGTTGGTGGACCCTCCGACCTTGGGACACCTGAACCCTGAAGCCAGGTTCGCAGCGAAGAAATCTCTACCAAAGGGCTGGGATGTTTTTGGCCTGGGCACAGCTGCCATCACTTCCCCGGAGCCAACATGAACAGCTATGATGATGGAAGTCCCTCTCGAAAGTGCAGTCTTTTTTTCAACGCCCAGGAATGCTTGAAACGTGCTTGGGTGCCCCAGCTTACTGCTAAGTCAAGCCTGCATTTCCTATACCCAGGAAGATGCCGTACTGCCTAGGGGCCTAGGGTTGAGGAAAATGAAGATGCATCAAAAGTGGTGACACAGAAGGTGCTGTTTGTTTTGATACGGACCCATCCTATGGCTCAAGCTTTGTGACGTGCTAGAAGACAAAAGCTTCAAACAACACGTTGTGCGTGCTTGAAGTCTTAGTTACCCTGTGGAAAGGAACGGCTGCTGAAGTTCATCATGACCTTGGAGGACGTTTCTGTCACAAAAGTGGAGATGGAGCAGGTGGATGGTACGATACTACACCCAAAAGTACTTCAGGTGTACTATTGCTCAGGAGATGTGTGTACAACACTAGTTCTGGCTTGGAATACCTTGCCCCTTTGGATCTAGGCTTCGGATCTACAAGGGACGTGGTGACGAAGCCAGCCCGCTCCCGTAAAAGCGCCTGAATTGAAATGACCACCTTTGACAAAGACCGCAAGAGGGGCAGCAGCAAATCCTCTGTGACTTGATGGTACTATGTTCGGTATATTCCCTTGGTTAGAGGCACCCTTCCTGCCCGGGCACTTTGTGCAGAGCGATGGGCAGAACTACGTGTGCCACTAGGTCTCGAGTTTAATGCTCAGGGCTTCAGGATTTATGGATGCGGGGTTTGTGGCTTTAGGCTTCAAGGACCTAGGCTTCATTGGTTTCGGGTGTCAAACCTTGGGCTGTGGGATCTCGATGATGGGAGTTGGCTTGCCTTGACAGATTCAATCATACTGACATTGACCTCGGGATTCCAACACGCTTTCCCAGTAAAGACCATCATCAAATCATTAGTACTCCTGTTCGCCCCAGTTGTTGCTTGTAGTGTCTTTGGATCATGTTTTCCTCCTGCCTGCGCCAAGCACACCTTCTGGGCTCCAGCTCCCCCAAAACAATCCAAAGCCCAGAAACGACGCAAGCCTAAATCTTAAGCTCCGACACCTTGCCCCCGGTATGAGCTGAGGCTATTTCTTCTCTATGCACGACTGCCTGACGTCCGATAAGGTGAAGGAGCTGAAGAAGACGCTTTGACAGCTCAATCATAGGGCGCAGGATTCAAAGTTTCGAGTGTAGGGCGTAGGGTCTTCAAAAGGTCACTGTGGGGCCGTTAAGGTACATGTGGCATGTAAAAGGAACCCACGATTATGGGCCCGTTGTCTTAACCCTTTAACAAGTGCAACCGCTTCTTTGCAGGGTAGGGTGGAGGATCCTAATGTTGAGCTCTGTGCCGAAAGATTGGAGCTTCTTCGTCCGGGCTGACCTTTTGGACTTAAGTGTGTTGGAGTTGGGTCGGTTGTTCAGGATTGAGGTGTTCTGGGGTCCATGCAGGGAATTTCTTGGAGGGTTCTGAGCGTGTTCTTTGTTGAGGTTTGGGGGTCCATGATTTTTGGGCCTGAGAAGCTTTGATTTTTTGGCGGCGTGTGCCTAAACTTTGGTTGTCTTGGCAGGGAGGCAAGCAGCTAAGAGAACGAAGCTTGAACACTTTCCGACCTTATCAGCAAGAATACTCCCCTTGTGGGGTTGGTTGAACGAGGATTCCACTACTTGGGAGAGCTTAAGGGGTAGAGGGGGGAACTCCAAAATCAAAAGCCCAAAGGACCCCCCCCAACCTAAACACCAAAATCTGCACCCTAGACTCCAGGCCCCAACCCTCAAAACCCACAAGGACCGGCCTTCAGTTCGGTGGGATTCAGGAGAGTGGCCTGGAACGCTGGACTTGCGAAGCAGCGCCGCAGTGAGCGACCATTTTCACCGAGATCGGTAAGGGCTAGTTAAGGGTTTGGGTTAGGATTTCGGGCTAAGGGGTTGAAGATTTAGGTGTAGGGGAAGGGTAGGAGGCAGGCCGGCTTGGGCTTCTCTAGGGTGTATCATAGGGAATTCAGGGGTCACATAGGAATCGTGGAAAATCGAGCGGGGTAAGAACCAGTGTCTGTGGGGATCCTCTATAGGGAATACGGGCTATTCAGTACACGTATCAAAGATTTGTTTGACTTGTTACTTTTTCGGTTTACTGTGTTACAAGCGGGAGATTGGTTCGCATAACAGCTTTTTTTAAGAGCTCAGTCACTTGAAGTTGTGTTGACTTGGTTTTCCTGATATGCATGCATGCATCTCCCACGAATTTCCGGAAGTGTTGGTTGCTGAATTGTGCCAGGCCAATGATCGTCTGGGAGTGTATAGGATGAAACAAGGCGGTGAATTACCCAAGATCCTGTGACAAGGGCATTCGATGAGTTGGTGAGGGTTTTTTTTGCTTAGGCTGCCATTCTGCAATAAGCGGGACGTGACATGAGTTTGGAGCTGGCAGTAGAGATCCTAGCAGATCCTCACATCCTTTGCCAAGAGTTATGAACGCCTCGCTAGCATGAGGGGCTTGCAAGTTTCTAGACCTCATTGAGGAACTATGGCCTGTCGAAGCCTAAGCTCTGTAGCCAAGAGTATCTTGCCTTATCTGGATTTGGACTTATGAGGTTTCGTGAAGTTTTAACAGCCAGCCAAAGGCAGCCAGACGAAGACTGGCATTCTTCTTTGCAGGTTGCGCGAGTTCTGGCCTTGCTTCTAACCAAATAGAAACCTGAACACCCAAAATGCCGTCCGCACATGGCTCTTACATGGCATGATTCGACAACTCCCAAAACCAATCCAAATTGTGTAGACCTTTACATGAGCTCGGATCCAGTGAAGCAGGAGCCCGCATTGGCAGAGTCATAGGGCCATCGATATAGCGGGCGTCATTTGTAGTTTGCAGCGTTCCTCTTCTGCCATTGCAAAACCCAAAAGTCAGATCCTACCTAGCCCTCGGACCCCTAATCCTTCTTGCCAGGTGTCCAATTTTTCCAAACACCGATGGGCCCCCTTGTCTTTATTCCCCGGTTTCCGGCAAGTTGAGATCACGGAACTCGGCTTGACCCCACGTTCCGCCTAAGGCGGCAAGTAGGATTGCGCTGGCAAAGGAAAAGAGCTATTGCTATTCCTAGCTTGCTGGGCATCCCGAGGGTGGGGCATCTTGGATTTCAGCCATGACTCTACGCAGCAGGGATTATTCTCCCTTCATTCTTTCTGAGTTTCAGTACACCAGAGCCAAAAAGCTCGAACCTAGGTACTCAGCTTTCCATGTATTTCTATACTTTTGGAGTTGTGGGGGTTGGTAGGCTTCGCTATGTTGACCTGATGTTTCGACAGTGGGCTTTCCCAAGCAACTGCAACTTCAAGGAAGTAAAGACTTTCTCCAAACCTTGGCCTATGCTTCTAACGTTTCAAAGCATGCTCGAGCTTGTTGGGCTTTACACGGAAAATCCTTGTTTTCATGCACAGGTCTCCACGCATTACGGTTTCGCAGTAGCATGGTTCTAGGTGCATGAGCCACATATGGGCTCTTGCTTGTAGCTGGATTCTTCCCTCGGGTCTAAAGTTTAGGCATACAAACGAAACATATGCTTTTTACAGACACCTGAGTTCACTGACTACTTCTTATAATATACCAACCGAAGTCTGTTCTGAGTGCTCAGGTCCCTATGCAGGCCCTCACTAGGCAAGTGCTTCAAAGTGTCTGAACTTGCTCTTTGGGAGATAGATAGGGTCAAAGAGTTTGGGGGCCTGAAGAATTTCCAATAATGGAAGATCAAATGGAAACTCAAATACAAGATCAAACGGAAGCAACTAGATTGCTTCGTGTTCGGGGAGTACAGTGAAACAATTGCTGGCTCGCTGAGTCCTACGCCGCGAACTCTGAATCCGAATCTCAAGCCCTAGACCCTAAGCTGTGAATCCCAATCTACCAACTTCAGGGGCCCGAAGTCCTACACAATACACCGCGCCGCCGCACCCTTGAATCCTGCCTAAATGTTTCGGTAGCTTCCACTTCATTTTCCATTTGACTCTGCATTTTTAGGTTGTATTCAGGCCCCTAAACCCTAAACCCCAAACCCTATGTATTCCATACAGCCCGCTTGAAGGGACCAAAATAGCCAAAATTTCAGGAGATGGGCGCAGCCGGCCTCACTGCCGAGGAGACTCCATGGTAGGGATCCCGATCCAAGAAATCGTGAACCCTGACCCCCAAACCATAAAAGCCCTAAACTAACATGTTCTTAGCCCAAAGTCCAAACCCTACTCATACCTGAGCTATACCATTAGCCTTCTCTAACCCCGCACCTCAAACTCCCAACCCCCAATCCTTAACATTCAGCCCGTAGTCCCTATTAAGTATATAGGAGCTACATCGAAGCTGCCAGCCCGGTGTAGCGGCAGCTGCACGAGGACTTGAGAACGTGGGATTGCGGGTTTAGGTTTGAGTGCCTCAGGGTTCAGGCTTACGCCAGGGATGTTAAGCCTCAAAGTTCAGGGTTAACAGTTGAAAGGTTCGAGGCTTAGAGTTTCTCATGCGGGAATTAGGATGTTAAGGTTCAGGGCTTCTGGTAAGGACTTCGGGTTGAGAATTTAGGGTCGATGGTGAAGGGTTCAGGCTTTTGAAGACCTTAAAGCCTTAAAGTCTAGGACAATATGAGCTACTTTCAAGATTGTGGGTCTTGTGGGGTACCACTGATTGTACAGAACCTGGTGTGGTTTGGACACAAATTGTTAGCAAGATCACGTACTAGTAGAGGGACCACCTCGCGAACGCAGGGTGATTATCGGTACAAAAGGCTTCCATGTAGAAGTCACTTCGAGGATTGCCCCCAAATATAAATAGCATCACAATCATGATAGTGCTGCTGTCTAAGTTCCTTCAACAAAAGCTGCGCGCTCGCAAAATTTGGGCGTGCCCTTGAAGTAAATGCCTCTCAAGCTCGTAGTGCCGAGGACTTTCGTCCATGCCACTCTGCGTCCTGCCTTCCACACGAGAGGTAGCCGGCAAGTCGCGAACGCGCCGCCCGGCAAAGTTGTTGAGATTCTAGGAGGTGAGGTGGATGCACTGCAGTAGCCGGAACAATTACAAGCTTTCTTGCCATATGTTTACGCCCCCCCCTCTATTTGCCCGCGGCAAATGCCCGCCCATCAGAATGTGCTGTGTATTGCAGTGTTTTGGTGGTTGTGGATGTGGTCGAAGTGAACGTTATTATGGGTGCCGGCATGCATTCGCTAGTATTTTGTCTCGCTGTAAATGATAGTAATCTTGCAGTTACGGATGCTATGACCGTGGATGCGCACGTAACATGAAGATGCTGCGGGCAAATAGGGGGTGGGGAATTCATATTTCCTGGTTAACTGGGACATGAAGAGATGAACACGTTGCGACCTCTATAGCTCAGTGCTTGACAGAAAGAAATGCAGGAATGCCCTCAAGCACACCTAACCGGTTCATTGTCTTGACTGCTACTTAAAGTTTTTGAAGCCCCTTCACATGTAAAACTTCAAAATTTGGGGCTCGCCGTGGGGTTCTTTCTTGCACATCCACAAAGCTCTGAACCTCTCACCCCAAAGCCTCACACCTTGTAAAACCTTCAACCATTTCAACCCCCCCCCCACTTCAGCCAAAGACCCAAGCAAGACAACCCAACTCCGCAGCCACACCGGCCACTTTCTGCAAAGATATTCTTATGCCACGCTTCGGGCAGCAACTTACACCCAACCCCCCTAAACCCCAAGCCGAAAGCATGTAGACTTAAACCGCAAGGCTTTGACGCTTGAACCCAAATCTTGCTGCCCAGTCAAGGCCATCCGCCAACGACTGTGACTCGCGATGCTCGGCGGACTACCGCTTCTTCAGAATATTCTCGTGTGTAGGGCGGCGGGATCTTCTGAATGAGATGAAGGCGTTTGAGAAGGCGCCAGCACCTGAGCGTTTGTGAAGACAGCCGAGGATGAGTTGAGCCCCTGCTCCCCTTCCAGTGACGGAGGTCCCCTGGCCTGCAAGATCAGAATGTGAGCTTAGATTCAAAGTTTTAGGACCTTGGGCGAAGGGATTGGGGATTTCAGTGGTCCATGCTTTCTGGGCATTCGGCTCCACGCGTAGCCAAGCGTTTCATGACGTCATCAAGACTGCTAGACACAGGGCACATGCGCTGTCCAACGGAGCCGCATCTAGTGGCTACATGACATGACAAGACGGAGCCTTCAAAATCAACAAGAATCCTGTTTGGCACCTTTTCATGTTGTGATTCTGTATCATGTGCGTACCCACCCTGCTTTCTGCCTTAGAGGAGCCTGAAGCCCTGAGCCTGAATTCCTACAGCAAGTCACGGGCATCCCAAGAAATCCATCACGCTAAGACCTCAAGCCCCAAACCCCAAACCTTCAACCACCAAAGTCGAAAGCCCTAGGCCCCAAGCTCCACCACAAACCCCCAGGCCCGACACTCCCAACCCCATGCCCTGACACCCGCACCGTTTGCCCAAAAGCCCCTGACTGTGCACCCTGCCACTGCAAAACGTAAACCTCGACCGCAAACCCTCATCCTTTAACTCTGACCCAAGACCCCACACCCCTAGACCCTACCAAGCCTAGAATCCAAACTCGTGTAAGTTTTCAGGTGACTCTGCGGACTTCAAGCTGCAGCGGCGCTCGCTGCGACTAGCTTCCCTTTCGCACCGTGGCCCAGCTGAGATCAGCGCGCTTTGGGATTTAAGCCCATTTTGGGTTGCGTTGGGGTTAGGTAGGGAAAGGGTTGTCTGGTGTCAAGGGTTTCTAGACCTATTACTAGAGCGCGGACGGGGCCTTACAACTCGAGCAAAGCTTCATAGCTGTGCGGGCTCCTAAGTCACAAGCCTCCCTTATGAACAAAGGCAACCTGTCTGCT